GTGTATATTTATTTCACGATTAAAAAGGGTATAATCATTGAAACCTGTGTCTCATCCGTTCATGGACTACAATTGTCTCTTAAGTATATATGCCAAGAGTACAATTTACATGGACATATTTTTTATGTATCTGTTGTTTTTTTTATTATACAACTCATTTGTTCTCTTTATTTTGCTATATAGAGGGCCTTGTATTGAAAGAAAATAAAGCAAGATCGTGAGAGAATCTTTAAGCTGATGAAGAATTCCAAGAATGCCTAATCAATGTTCAAAAGTGAATATTCAGCTCCCAACCATTTCTTTTTCAGGTAAAAAAAAAATCAGAAATAGTAAACATTGTCAATCATTAATATAGGGAATAAAAAATCTTTTGTTTGTATGTGTATATGTCATACCATTTGACTTATCTGTCAATGATCTAGAAAGTTAATACTTTCTGATCTATGTATAACATTAGTAAGTTTTTGTTTGTAAATTACGCTTCTTTTTGTATGTCTTAAGAACCAGTGTCATTTTCATGTCAATTGAAAAAAAACGACACATTAGGTTAAGTTTTAAAGTATAAACATTTCATTAATCAAAGGAGGGTTGTTTTGTTAATTTGATAATTACTACGCATGTCTTATAATTATAACCCTCTTAAAACAATTAGTGTGCTTGATGCACAGATAATATTCATACGCTGTGACCTTTTAGTCTATTACGCCGCAAAAAATAAACCCTATCTAATTTCAAAGAGATTTTTCGCTTATTTGGTCCTTTTTTAATTGTTATACATTACGATGAAACCATTGTTATACATGTAGATAATTTCCGCGTTCATTGATATGTTGTTGTTGTTTTTTTTTCTTCTTTTTTTTTCTTTTTAATCTTTAAAATAGACGCGCAATTAATACATAACAGCAGACGACAATCTTTTAATGCCTCATAAACGAATAAATTTTTACTTCTTTAGAAAAAGCAAATATGAATTATATGGCTTTTGAGGGTGATAAAATATAAACATGTATATAATAATAATCATAATAGAAATATAATAGAAAGATGATGATGATAGTGATGATTAGGATGACGATTATTTAATGATTATGACGATAATGATAATGATGATGAGGAGGATCATGATAAGAAATGCAATTTATCTCATGGATATTGAATTAAATTATAACATTTCTCAAAGTTAAAATTATTGATTGACTTCTTTATTTATTCATTCTTTATCATTTAAAAAAAAATATTATCTGGAGGCATTTGCCTTTAATGCTTTGAAAAACAATTTTCCCGTGTTCTATTCAGCGCAAAACTTTTTTCATTTCTCTCTAAATTTTCTTGCTTTCCCTGCTGTTTAGTCTTCCTTATTATTCTTCACTAACAGATGTTTATCATTTGCTTTTGATTTAAACATAAAGAAAACAAATTGTTTTGTTGGGTAATTTTTTTCCGTAATATTTCTAAATTTTGCCAATGTTCTGAAATTCAGAGATCTGGATTCCATCACGGCTGTCAATATAAAGATTTCCATTTCTCTTGTTTTGAAGATGATATAATGTTAAAATATGACAGCGAAAATTGATAAAACAACACTTCCAGAAAAGATTTCAATATAAATATAACGTTACAAGATTTGTTACTTGTCATTTACCACACATTACGAGAATAAAAAGAAATAACAACTGTTCGTAGATTTTATTTTATTGAACGCGAGTATCTGCGCCAAAACCGCACGCACGAGATTGTTTTTCGTATGTTTTGATCGCTTTGATTTCTTTACTTTATGGCACACAAAAACAATTAAGGAAACAAGAAAGATGATTTTTGCTAACCTCGGGTGTTACAAACTAAACCACCACATCTGCTGGAGCTAAATGATGCATAGACTCCAAAGAACTCGAACCCATTTAGTCGCCCCTTACCATCACGATTAGATAAACGGTGGCTTGTCTACGAAACAAGAGGAAAAGGTATAGAAAAATGATATAAAAAGAACATGGTGATGGAAGAAGAAGAAGTAGAAGAAGGCGAGGAGTGAGAAGAAGAAAAATTATGATGTGATGATAATGATGATGAAGAAAGGAAAAAGGGAGATAAATATATAAACAAGAGAAGAAAAAAAGTATAAAAGTATAATAGGAGGGAATTTTTCTTCTTTTAGATGGCCTCCAGATAATAAACATAACCACAAAGTTAAAATGATTATGTATATATGGTATAGGAGAAGATCGACAGAAAGAGGATAGACAGAAGCAGAGGAATAGTCCACCAAAAACATTCATAGAAGATAAGGAATAACATGAAGTAGATCTTGAAGAAAAACATTTTGAAGATCATGTAGCAGATCGTGTAGAAAATCATGACGAGGATTATGAAAAAGAAAAGAAAAGGACCACGATTTATATTCTGAAATAAAATTTAATATGAATATATACTAGCCTAGCAACCTGAAGATGATAGCCTTAGATTCTAGTCGCCTAAGGTGAGAGATGAAAATTAGGAAAACGCAAGGGGCTTTAATTCATTACAAGACATTGTAAGCTTATTTGATATAAAATGAACCTTGAAATGTTTTCTAAAGACTGCCTAAATATGAAGTCAACAAGATAGCAGTACAGAAGCCTGGGAGCTTAAGTTAGTTATGTATATAAGACATACAAAAAGCGTCTGAAAAAGTAACCACTTTCTTACAACTCTACAAGCTTATCTATAATTAAATCACAGGTTCTCTGGACGGCTAAACTAATGGGACTTGAAGTCAGGAGCTCAACAGACTGGCAGCCTTAAGTTTGTGCGCAGAATATAAAATAGGAAACCGTCTGAAGTTCATAGAAATCCGTATATAAGCACACTAGAAACTTGCTGGAATATTAAGTGAACTTCAATGAATAAATTACGTAGATTTGTCAAATGCAGCACTTTGTGGGCCATAGGAATACAGATATAATAATGGTAAAGACATAATAACACCGCCATGACACTGTGATACTCTATGGTAACACCATGGTAACGCCATGATAACACCGTGATAGCGCTGTGACCATCTATACCAACATAATAATAGCACCATATTTTTCATATAACACCATGATAACAACACGATATTCAACGATAAGATCTTGGTAACATCACTATAACACCATCATTGCACTATGGTAATCTTTACATAAACATAATACCATCATAGCACCACAATTTCCTATGATAACGCCAGAATAACACCACCACAGCACAGCGATACCCTATGATAACGCAATGATAACACAAGCAAAGCACAACGATACCCATTGATAACGCCAGAATAACACCACCATATCACAGCGATACCCTATGATAACGTCAGAATAACATCACCACATCACAGCTATACCCTATGGTAACGCCATGATAACACAAGCAGAGCACAGCGATACCCTATGATAACATCATGAAAACACCATCAAAGCAAAGCGATACCCTATGATAACGTCATGATGACACCACCGCAGCATCATGATACCCTATGATAACGCCATGATAACACCATCACAGATGATACCGTATTATGACATTATGATAAAACTACCACATCACATCACAGCACCACGATATACTATCGTAACAGCACAATAACACAGTCATTAAAGCACGAATATACGGATTACCCTTTTGAAAACCGCATGGAAACGCCAAGAAAACATCATCGTAGCACCTAGACATTGTAAATAACAACATGATAACGCTTTTGTAACATCATCGGGACATTTACCACCACAGTACCATGATGACACCAAAACATCATTATAGAACCATTATAGTCTTTGATATCAGCAAAGTAAGACCTTGATAACACCATAATGGAACCTAGATACTCTATGATAACAACAAGATAACACTTTGGTAACATCATCAAAGCACCATGGAAACGCCATAACAACACAATCATAGTATCTAGATACTCTTTGATAAAAACATGATCACCTCTTGGTAACACAACACTATGATAACCTTTGTTACCACCATAGTTACACCATAATAACACCATGATAACGTTATCGTACCACCATGGTACTCTATGATAACATTATGGAAATGCATTATCAAGAACCGATATTTCATGGAGATACTGTTTTCTTTTCACATTAATATAAGGAAAGTCTATATAAAAGCCAACTCGCAGCGAATGATACATTTTAACTTTGGAATCTCTCTAATTATGTACATGTACATGTATTTTGTTCCTTAACAACATTGGCAGCTGGTTACTGGCCTGTCTCTACATATCATAACAGTTGACACGTAGGCAACAGTTTTAATAAACAAACCATTTGGGTTGTTTATGGTCGTATAGATTTACGTTCCGTCATGGAACTTTCTTGATGATTATATTTTCTTCTGGTAACTTGGTCGGTGGCAGAGTATTATAACTTTGATGAATGATAGATTGAATATTAACCCATAAAGGGACTCCACTGAGGTTTAAAAGCCTGAAAACATAATATTTGAATTTCTTACATAAATGAGCTGGGGCACTTTAAACAGAAATATATGCAAAGATAGTTAAGAAATATACTTTGAAATAAATTGAAAATCGTATTTTTATGCTTTTCTTAGCCCGATTTGAGTGAAAAGCGTTTAAACGCTTTTCATTTTGGGTCATTATTTTTACAATTCTGGAAAAACGAAGTGCGCAAATGATCTGAAATTTTGCACAAAGATTAGTTGTCTAAACAAATGGTTCATTTATCTGGAAAAAATATTTTCAGTCCCATCATGTCAAAAAAAACCTCAGTGGAGTCCCTTTAACCTGCTGGAACCGACAGAAATTAGCATTTTTGTCACCAGTGTCTGAACATAGTGCTGGTAGCTCAGTTTTTGTACTTTATTATTTTTTTAGTTTTCTTAAACTTCGAATGACAAAACTTCGGATGGTAAATGTATTTTTGATATACATTTTCCATGAAAGTCCCATGTTTACAAATGCGTAATGTGTACTAAATATTTAAAACAATAAAAACAACAACAACAAATTGTCAAATTTATCCATTTACTCACTATCACGTAATAATCAAACAATAAAGTAAAATGTAAAATTTGCAGCGTATCTTAAATTACAAATAATAGATTTGGAAGCATTCGAAATAATTAACGCCGTGAACCGGAAGTGTATTATGGTATAACATCTATTTATCCACTCGTGAATATTCGGCATTTTTCGCCATTTTCCGTGACATAAAAAGGAATCAAATAAGCGTCGACATAACCTTGAGCAGAACTAAATCTTGTCTGCTAAAGTGGTTATTGAATAATGAAAGTGGCGAAGTTTGCCGGAATTTAACGAGTTGATAATACCCTTATATGTATAATTATCATAACTATGTTTATATGAGCACAAGAAACAACTGTTTTCTTGAAATTAGAATCATATCTATACAAATTAACTTAAATAGATAAAATTTAAATTTACATTCTACAATTCAGCAAATTATGATATTTAAATTATATAATTATATATAATGCTTTATACAAATATTTGTATATATGTATAATCACAAATTACAGATGCTTTTTAAGTAATTATAAAATCTAATACTATTTCCCATGCATAATTTTGCATTAAACTTAATTAATTGATAAATTAATTAATTTAATAAGTATACATGCAACTACTTTTAAGGTGAGAAACTAAGGTCGTATGACGAGTTTGCTAACGAATACCTCAATGTAATACTTAACCCATTACTTCATATACACGCCTTTTAACGCCTTTTTCACCCCCCCCCCCTTTTGTTGTCTCAAATGATGAAGAAATGCCTTATTTAGGTCCCAAACACTTGTTTTTGTTTGAGAAATGTTGTTAAAAAAAGTGACCTCTTTTTCGGCGCGGCCCCCCAACCAAAATATACATCAGGGGGTTGCCAGAAGGGGGGTGTGCCCCCTTCTGTTTGGGGGGTTTGAAGGGGGGCGGAGTCCCCCTCATCGCCAAGAAAATTTTGGACTTGTGAGAGGCTGTAAATGACCCCAGATTGATCATAAGGTAACGTGTAACCAACGCTGAAAAGCATTTGACTCTATTTCAATCCATTGAGAAGTTGCAGCACTTTGAAATCAATTTTGATGGAAAAAATCAACGCAAAATAGTGATTTTTGGCAATTTTGAGATGTCCCCTCCTTGCCATGGTAACAGAAAATTTAAGCCTGAGCATGTTGTTGCAAGGGCAATGGTCCAGTCAACATTTGTGCCAAGTTTGATTAGTGTTGAAGCAGTTTTTATAGTATTATAGCAATTTGAACTTGTAACAGGAGACTTTTCAATGAAAACAGCCATTTTTCACAAAAAGCTCATGAAGTAATGGGTTAAGGCAAAACGGGCATCATATTAGGGCGGAAAATTAATTGTCCGTATTACCCAAGTTGGCCCACAGCCGGTCCGGCAAAATAGAATTTTCAAGAATTTATTATATAAATATACAGATAAGTTAAGAAATGCGTCAGATAAAAACGGACAAGTCAAAATCAGATTCCGCCAGCCCTGTCATATTTATTATTTATTCAGGAAATTAATAAACAAATAAATTCATAAAAACGTGTTCAAGAACATAAAACAAAACTCGGCTTGACAATATATAGGGACTAAAACAATACATAGCGCAATAATCTAAATTAATACCTTCGAAAAATATAATAAAAATTGTTCCGACATCAGCACAAAATCAGATATACATTTTACTAGTTACAAGAACACAATTCTTCTATTAAATCGGAATTATAAAATTCATATGGGTTTTATTCGAATATGTTTGACTTTGGATGAAATATGTTTTACAATTTTTAAGACATTTCTTTCATAACAAACAGCCGGACAGATGTGACAAAAATATATTGCAATTTCACAGCATTTAAGTAAATGAGGAGGAAATACAGAAAATAAACCTATGTCCTAAACATTATTCTATAAGAGGTAATTTGAAAAATTGATTTTGTCCTAAAAGTTTCGAATTTTTCAAATTAAATATAGTTTACATCTTCATTGTGCTCTAAAAATGGTAAAACAAATAAAATTATTATTAGTTCATGAATTTAATATGACCAGACATTTTATTTTATTGTGTAATTTCCTGCCAAACATATATTCACTATTTACCAAACCTTATGAAGGTTAAATTATATAAATACAGTAGCATAAAATTTTCGAAATTACATCTTTCACAGCAGCATCACAAGTTAAAGTCAATGAAACATGCCACCGATATGGACTGATATTGTTTACTTTCATAATAATAAAAACATAAACAAAACGGTTTAATAACGCAAATCAAGAACTTGTCCTTATTGTTATGAAGCTAAAATAGCGTTCCTTCATGTATAATAATATACTTATATAATAACTTTAACTTCAACCAGTACTCAAAACGAATTTGAACACTTTTTTCAATATTTTTTTTTCTTATCGTTTATTAGCAGGACACTTTTTTTTTTATCTTTTTTTTCCCGAAAAATTGTCACACAAGTGTATTTGTTCTAATAAGCGCACTCCATTTATTTTCTACTTATTATCCATAGATTTGGAGCTTGAAATATCTTCAACATTACTCTGTTCTTCGGAGTCACTGTCACCTTTTTTGGAACCTTCACTGTGTGTTTTAACATGTTTACTCAAGTGGTCACTGCGCATAAATTTTTTATTACACACGGGACATGCGAATCTTTTTTCGCCGGTATGCGTGCGCAAATGACGTTGTAGTTCGTCTGAGCGCGTGAATCGCTTTCCACAAAATAACCAGTTACATATAAACGGACGTTCCCCTGTGTGCCAACGCAGATGAGCCTTCAAATGTGACGTTTTCCCGTAAACCTTTCCACATCCGGGTATGTGACAACTGTGAATGTTTTTCTTCACTAAATGAGCGCCTGCAGGACCGAGACGTTCTGCCTCGTGACAGTTTGGACATGCGCACGTTGCGCGCCCAGAATACCGTTTAGATTTAGGACTTGGAATGTTTGTAAGTCCAGGTCTGGAAAGAAATGGACTGACTGCGCTTGTACCTATATCATTTGGGGAAGAATACATTGCTTTATAGGGGTCCTGGAACAATTGTTGCCCGGTTGAGAAAAGTGAATTTGTACTTGAGCTCAGCGAGTGTCCTAATTTTAAATCACTAGGGTAACTAGACATTTGTGAATGTAGACCGGATGTAGGCGCCGTCATTTCTGGATATAAATTCCCAGTTCCAGAATGCATGTCCCAAAATGGCGCCACTGGATTAACGGAGCTTGCTACCTCCGTTTTCAAGTTCGAACCTAAACCGAATGCCCAGGCATCATAATGCTGTGCCGACACTCCGGCCACTCTAGAATACATCCCAGATATTCCACTATCAGTCCAAGCTGAATCGCTGTGCATTTTAGGCAGGTACGAAGATGCTTGTGGCGAATCGCTTTGACTATGTGAACCAGAAGTTGTACTAGTCGGATACAACAGATCGTTACTGTACGGACTACTTCCGTTAATGCTGGTACTCGTTCTGACGTAACTTGGAGATGAGGTCGGGGCAAACGATGGACTTCTTTGCTGTGGAACCAGTAAAAAGTTTGATGGGTCAGCAGACGATTCTGGTTTCTTCCACGGATAAAATCCTTTACCAACGGCAGCGTCTGCCAATGGTGGTGGTGATTTTGATGTGATTTTATTGCACTGAGCGGCAAGCATTGCGAGTGGTGCGCCTCCTAGCGGATGATGTATGTCCTGAAATAGATAAAACCTATATTTAGTAACATGATAATCTCAGTGCTTTGATATGTTGTTTATATCTAAGTACTATCATGATATATTGTACCTTAAAGTTGTTGCTAGTTTGGAATCACAAAGATGCAAATGTAATTGTGCACGTAGTAACACTTTTTTTAAATCCATCACGATCAAAGACCGCTACGACAACAGGAAAAACGACCTATTCATTACTATGAATCCCAGGGGTCAATGGATGTATTTAAGTTTAAACTTGTTAACGTGGTTAATAAACCCTGAGCCTTGTAATTTTACTTTCGTTAATTTTAATCTGGCTTGAATAATTACATATTTCACGCAACCTCTCGGACAAATTTCGGATATAATTGGCTATAATCGTTTATGGGAATGAGGCGATCATCCTTTAATTTGCCGGGATCGTCTTTACTTTTAATTCTTCAACTATTTTTTCGTCTTGTAGATTTTCCTATCTGCGTACAACAGCTTACAAACTGTCTATACTTATGTCTAATTCCGATTTAATTCCAAGCATATGAGAATCAACATTAAAAAGTAAGAAGCATTATTTTCTACACCTTAACCTCTAATAAAATGAATTAGTTTTTACATTGCCTTTGCATTTTATTTTAATCCATTAGAAAATATCTGTAAAATTTGTATTCAAATCGATAAAATTTAGACTCTCAAACAATGTTTCGGAAGTACTCTCCCTATACCATTTTGTTTAAACATATTTATTTAAGCTCGATTGCAAAACAAGTTCTAGAAATTTATATTAATCACTTTCGAGTCCGCTTCCTAGTACCAACCAGTACTGGTGTCATATGAAGAAACATGGTCGTGAACAGAGTAGGGCTTGAGCCCGTGATCCCCGGGTTGAGGGGCAGACACCTTAACCACTAGGACATCGCTCCTCTTAAACTATCTATACCAATAATAAAATAAAACAAGTGTTTCTGCTACAATAAAAGGGTGGTCTTTTAAGGTTGGGTTAAAATTCAAACATATGGTTAGACTTGGAGCCAAGCCGACACATTATAAAGACCATATAATGCCTTTCCAGCTTTTCTTGTGGAGTAGAAATAAGGGATTCTCCGGGCATTCTTTCAGGGATTCAAACTTAAGTCTTTGGTTTAAGCTCTGAAAACTTGCCTTAAACGGGAAATTTAAAAAATCCCAGCAATACTTCATAAAGCATCTTTAATAGATAACGCTTAAGTTTTGCAAAATTGCTCAATTAAAGATTTTTAAGACTTTAGAGTACTGATTTATGAATATATCCTTTATTTAGTTCCTCTTACCCCTACCCAAAGCCCTAAGCCCACCCAACCCCACCAAATTTGAATTCAACAACAAAGACATTATCATTATTCCATCTTAGACGAAAGCATTTTGAAGATACACGTACATGTACAGCAAAACTGCAACATATTTTTTTAATCTACAGAATGTGCTATAACATTTGCTCCGATTTGACATCAATAGAATAGAATAGAATAGAATAGAGTTAAATAGTATAGAATGGAATTGAATTGAACGGAACAAAACAGAACAGAACATAATAGATTAGACTACAAAAGAATAAAAACTTATTTAAAATATGGGCCTTTCAGGCATATAAGCATATAATAAACAATGCTGTACATGTACAAGATGTACGAAACAAAAGGAGACTTAACTAAACTTAAACTTGATTTTGATCAGCTAATGTAATTAACATAAGACTTTTTACGAAAAAAAACTAAAGCATATTTGAAGATCTGGGAGCCAAAATCAGCCTTTAGTTACTGAATCTGAAGGATGAAATAATTATTAATTATAAGGACCCGACCGATCATTATTAAACCAACGACTCTGGTTTAAAAATAATTCCAACTTCTCGAATATATAAACAACCAGAAGCAAAAACGTTCCCCCTTTGTATTCCCTAACAAACCATTCAGAAGAGAAAATATTTAATTTGTTCGTTTTCCGTCTAGTGATTTTCAAGAGACATATTTTCTTTACTTTATGACCTTATTTAAAAAGCCATAAAATAATCATGGTTTTCATAAATCACTCTGTGCTTTAGAAAATAGAATATTACTAGCTAAGCGGAAAATTATTTTCCGATAATCATTTCGTTTAATTTTTCGATTCGTAATATTATGAACACCGGAAAGATCAAACGGTTTTAAATTATACGGCCATGATTTGATTGCCCTTTAATCTCCCCGATAAAAAGTGGAGTTACAAGCGCTTCCTATCGTTTGCTAAAAGGTTGGCTGATTTTGCAAGAGCACTGACCAAACAGTGTTTTTCTAGTTGAAGAGTTGATATTCATTGTACGTTAATTAAGGGAACGAAGTAGAAAATTTGTACCGGATTTCCCCATACCGCTTTTTATCAAAATTGATTCCGAAAACCATTTTTGATCAGATAACAAGTTGAGTAAGTCACGAAAATGGCAAAGTAAGGTATACACCAGTAACTTGGGCATTATTGTTTCAATTAGTTTTATACACCGTGGTTTGGATGGCTCTATAGTTTAACATATGACGTCGGTTTACCTAACATGGGCTGAAACCACAAATCCATTAGAAACCATAGTAAGCATGATATCTGAAGGAAAGCTAGTAGTAAAGTGGTAAAAATGTCCCGACTTCAAATCCAGGGGGTGAAGTTTGAATCCCGTTACTCAATTTTTAAAATATGTATGTAGTTTGTGCAAAGCTTCAAACCGACATCTTGTGTGGTATCTTTGCACGTTACAGAGCCAGTGTTTACCGACACCGGAGAAATCCTGACACAAATGGTGCCAGTACTGTAAGTAAACGTATTCTTTTCAATGAATTTTCACCAATGAAAAATGTTTCAGCCATTTTTTAAGTTGTTCGCTTGAATCCTTGGCATTCAAGATAGCTTGTTAGATTCCCAGGAAATTGTTTTGTCTTTCCTTTACTAATGCAAGTAATTGTTTCAATTGTGCAAGCGAGATAGTTCGTTAAGTGCAAAAAAAAATATCATTATATCTCAAACGCTTATTGATTTACTACTTACGGAGAATTATCATCATACCATGAAACGCTTATTAGCATACAAGGTATTACGGATTTTAACTTTGTTTGTCGAGTTTTGGCGGAATATTGATAGAAGAAATTGCTTGAAACGATTTTTTTTATTTATTTAACCAATTTAATAAGCAACTGTCAATCAATAGCGTTTTAAATATTGCATGCTGCGGCCACAATCACAGTTCGAAAAAAATTACAAATGTTAAAGAAAAGATATTGTAGTTACTTTACTATCTCTTTTGTTCATATTACAACTTGACGGCAAATAGAATCTAACAATACGATCCAGTGCAGACCAAGAGCAGCGCTGGTTTGCGTTTTTCGCTCTTCAATCAAAATATGATGAATAATTTTGCCCAAATGAAAAATGGACAAATCTATTTAAGATATTAAGCGTGGTAGGGGTAAAAAGGTATAAATGTGGTACACGGTTTTTTTCAGTAAGGTAAGAATTTAACCCGTTTCCTGCTGGAGAGTGATTAGCCTTTGCCAGGCCAGTATGCACGTCCTGCACGTGCAATCTGGCCTAACTCTATACTGTTAGTTGCAGAATTCTTAAAATTATTTTAATTTTGAATGGATAGCTAGGTGAATCCATTACACAAATTCAACAGGTTTAAGGGTTGAGAAAGAGAAGCAGGCGCTGTGAATTTTTGCAGACGACATTTTGAAACTTTTTTATTTAGACTTAACTCTCTAAACGTACTAAACACCATTATTAATTCTTTTTACCGTATTTCTAGATGTAAAACTTTGCAATTTTAATCACCTACCTAAAATTTGTTTCAAAATCCGGCTACTGTAAATTTTAATTTAAATCCCTATTCATTAAATAAACATCCTTAAATATTATTGATACAAGAACCTTTCTTTCCGTTCGGTTGAAACGCTCTGTTTTGGTATTTACTCTGGGTTTTTTTTGTGGTCTTATTCAAGGTCGTATTCGTGGATTATTAAATGTCCAAATATAAGAAGTTAATACGGATTTCATGAGGATTAGATTACCAATTTCAGCATCAAAATTCACCTAAAGATTTGAATAAATGATTCAAGCAGAAATATAATTGCTAAGATGTGGTGAATATCTTAAAAAGCAGAGGAATGGTGCTGATTTAAATAGACAAACAACAATATCTAAAACGTGTTTTTATAGTACAGGATACTGAAAATTTCGTTTTGATTTTTTTGTACACCAATAGAGAAAATATTATATTAAAATGAGCTAAGAAATATTGTTGAAGCATTTAGCATACTTTTTGAAAATACTTTCTTACGTGCTTTTCAGTGCTAAAAATGTAAGTAATAAACTTCCTTGAAAAATGTGTTGTTTTTTAACTTTTATATAACGATTATTTTAACACATCATCTCGAATTTTGTTTTCCGGAGAAAATTGGTTGACGGAACTAAAGGAACCAATTTTCTTAGAAACTGAAATGAATGTTTCATAATAAAATGTTATAAGATAAGCTCTGTATATTAAATCGGTGTAACCATTTACATATTTTACAAACCAATTATTTTTTTGCAGCAGAAGATGGGGGTCGGTGTCTTGATATACAATACCTGTGAGAACAATACGTTATGACATTCACTAGAGCTAAAATTTCAAATAAGAAAGAAAACTAATGTTATTTTTCATACATAAAATAATTACACTATAGTTGCATAATAAGTTCTCATATGTCTTAAATGATGCTTGAATAAAACTGAATCCTAACCCTCACCCTGCTGGCGGAGTGTGACCAGTGCCGACCAAGACCAGCTGGCACATCAGTGTCGTCTGGTCATGGTCTGCACTGTTCGCTTATTCTGAAATTTTTCCTTAAAATGGTAAATGGTTTTGTCCAAATTGAAAGATGGACAAGACGGACAAGTCCATTTAAGATATTAAGGGTGGTGAGGTTAAGATATATCATAGCTCTGTACATAAAGCTCATCTAATT